AATTCTAATTGTCTATATAACTCTAAAAGTCTTGTTTTAGCTCATCCGGCCCAAAGGGCCCGATGAGCTTATGCCATGGCGTGGCGTCCGTCGTCCGTTCGTCCGTCCGTCTACAGTTTTCAAAATGCTTCTTCTTCGTTATTTTTCAACCGATTTTGATTCTGATTGTTTCATATGATAGGGCTAGGACGGGAATTTAAAAATTCGACACAGAATCGTCAAATTCATTATCTATGCTAATTTATGCAAATTGATTCGAAATCACAAAAAATGCTTCTTCTCCTTCATTTCTCGACCGATTTTGATTTGGTTTGCTTTATCTGGTAGAGCTAACTTTGGTACACTAAATTTCTACACAGAATTTTGAAATTGTTCTCCATTAATTAATTATGGTAATTTATGCAAATTTATTCCAAAAATAACAAAAATTGCTTCTCCCTCATTTCTTGACCGATTTTGATTTCCCTTACCGAACTGAAGGCCTTCGCTAAGCAGTCGCATAGCAGTCACAAGCAGTCGATATAAGCAGTCGCAAGCCTTCATTTGCAACATGCATGTCAATGTATTGCTGCAAGCCTTCGAAGGCTTGTAAGCAGTCGATAGGCCTTCCCACAGCCAAGTTAATATGCAAATTAGCTTCGACTGCTTATAATGAAGCTCTAAATAAGCAGTCGACTGCTTATAATGAAGCTCTAAATAAGCAGTCGACTTATAATGAAGCTCTAAATAAGCAGTCGACTGCTTATAATGAAGCTCTATATAAGCAGTCGTGTTTAAACCTTCCTAAGCCTTCGAAGGCTTATAAGCAGTCCATAGGCCTTCCACAGCCAAGTTAATATGCAAATTAGCTAAGCCTTCATCATTGACTGCTTATACCTTCGTCGTTGAATCACCTTAACCTTCGTCGACTGCTTATCCTAAACCTTCGAGCGTTGTGTACTTCGACTGCCTATATTACCTAAACCTTCCGTCATCAACTGCAGCTGCGCTAATTTGCTCAATATATTTGTGAACAAGTATTTACAAATCTGACCATGCAATTTCCTAATCTGTACAGAAAGCAAACTCAATTTTGTATTGTGTAATTGTATTACTTCTGGACAAATGAAGATGTTTAAAGTAGCTCCAGCAGCTAGCAGTCCAGTGCAAAGCAAAGTTGATCGTATTTCTCCAACAAGTGCTTGTGTGGGACTGTAATCTTGGTCAAAATTCGATCCTTCTCATTTTGTTAAATTCTTGCTCTAGAATACTCAAAATTCTTCTTTCCTGGTGTAAATAATCTATTATTCTATACTGTGTTTTACAGGAAGACGAAATTGCAAAGTAATGATTGAAATTTCAGCTCAGCTCAGAGTCTCAGTGAATTTGAATTTGAAAATTAATTGGCCTATTCGCTCTACCACTAGATCAGCACATTTAAAATGAACTTCGCGGTCTTCTTTAAAATGACTGCTTATCTTTGAGGCTTATTTTGACTGCTTATCTGAATATTTTCTACTGACTGCTTAAGCAGTCAACATTTTTGACTGCATATGAAGTCTTTGAATTAGCTCTCGCAAATAATAATTAACAAACTTCGAAGGCTTTGAATCTTGAAGGCTTTGATATCGAATTAACATTTTTTGGTTTGCCTTATTTGGTAGAGCTAAATTTGGAACACTAAAATTATACACAGAATTTTGAAATTGTTCTCCATTAATTAATTATGGTAATTTATGCAAATTTATTCCAAAAATAACAAAAATTGCTTCTCCATATTTCGACCGATTTTGATTTGGTTTGCTTTATATCGTAGAGCTAACTTTGGTACACTAAACTTCTACACAGAATTTTGAAATTGTTCTCCATTAATATTTATGGTAATTTATGCAAATTTATTCCAAAAATAACAAAAATTGCTTCTTCTCCCTCATTTCTTGACCGATTTTGATTTGGTTTGCCAAATTTATTCCAAAAATAATTTAAAAATCACAAACCCTTCCAGGGCATCAAATTTTTATTTTTTGACCAGTTCAAAAGTGTACCACATAAAATTTATGATATTTGTTGTTGCGAGATGCGGATGAGCGCTACATCATTGACGTTCTGGTTATTGAATTTGCAACGTAATTAGCCAAAAATAATCTATAAACTTTTCACCTGACCCTCCCTGCAAGATATGTGATCAAAGCCCAAATGTCATGAAAAAGGGGAAAATGCGATGTACAATGTGAATTGTGAAACCTTTTTATAAAAACAAAATCTGTTGACACAAAAACCCTGATAGCACAAAGTAAATATCTGGCCGAACCATGTATTTTGTATGCAATTTTAAGTGGATAACACAAAATCCTTATAACACAAACAAAATATTGTGGTCCTACTGATTTTGTGTTAAAGAGGTTCCGCTCCGAGGTTCAGCTGTATCATGTTTACATGTCCTACCTTTGTATGATGCTGAATTATATTTCTTGGATTCTTGATATCTTGTAGTAATGCTTTATTATCCCCTCGCCGACAAAGTCGGAGGGGATATAGTAACGCTGCTGTCCGTCCGTCCTTCCTATTAACAATTTTGGTTTCCAATCGATAACTTCAATCCTCTCTCTCTCACATGGTGCAACCGCAAGCCTACTGTATAACTTCAGTAATGTTTGACAGAATTTAATGAAATTTGATATCAAGGTACATGATATTAAAATACAGGCTAAGTTCGATTTCGGCCAAGCAGATACTTCAAGTGCATTACAGATATCAGAAGTAGGTGCACTTTATAATAGTGGTGGGCTATACAGGGGGTCAAAATCCTTAAGGTTTCTGCTCATTTAGAGGGGCATATCATACCAAGCATTTCGACACCTTTCTTTAAAAAATCGGTTAAAAAATGAGAAGGTGCAAGCCAAAAACGACTTGCGAGGCCAAGGTGGGATAGGAGAGTACGTTAATTGACCCCGGGCTCAAGTAAATTCTATTTCTGCTCATTTTGATAATTTAAAAATCAATTTAAGATCTTTAGATGCCCTGTCTCATAGATTAGTGGTAAATAAAGGTACCTTGACAGTTAAAAATAAATGTCATGTTTTAGCTCGATTTTGTGTAAAAGAGATTCCACTGTACGACAAAAAATCAGTTTAAATATGTTAAAGGGGGGTGCCAACGTTCAAAGTGTGCAAAACATTATGCAAAGATCATGAAAGTACAATTTTTGGGGAAAGGAAAGAAGTCATAAGTTCCATATCTGACCTCAAATTTGACCAAAAGTGCTGCTCAATAGTTAACAGGAAAGCTACGCAATTTATTGGTCAGAATTACCACAACTTGGTCAAAATTGTGGTCATTCTTACCTACCGTTAGTTTGTAGATTCTTCATCTTGATATTTTTATGTAAGTTTTTTTTTTTTTATTGTGACCAAAAGTGCCAAAATCTGCCTTTTGTCGCACTTTTTGGTTTAAAAAAAAATAAAACTTTTATTATCCCCTCGCCGACGAAGTCGGAGGGGATATAGTAACGCTGCCGTCCGTCCTTCCTTCCATGCGTGCGTCCGTCCGTGCGTGCGTCCGTTCGTAACAAATTTGGTTTCCGATCGATAACTTCAGTAATGTTTGACAAATTTTAATGGAATTTGATATGAAGGTACATGATATCAAAATACAGGCTAAGTTCGATTTCGGAGTATGTACCTAGGTCAAAGGTCATAGCTCATTAAATATGCAAATCTGGTTTCCATTCGATAACTTGAGTAATGTTTGACGAATTTTAATGAAATTTGATATGAAGGTTCATGGTATTAAAACAAAGTCTAAGTTCGATTTCGGAGTATGTAGGTCAAAGGTCATAGCTCATTAAATATGCAAATCTGGTTTCCATTCGATAACTTGAGTAATGTTTGACGGATTTTAATGAAATTTGATATGAAGGTACATGGTATCAAAATACATGTACAGCCTAATTTCGATTTCTGAGTATGTAGGTCAAAGGTGAAAGGTCATAGCTCATTAAATATGCAAAAACACCTACCGGTAATTATATATGTGAAAATCCTTGCCTAGAAATATAATAATATAGTCCAATGGAGGTAACTTGTTCTGACGTATATAGGCCATTTGTACCCTGCGAGGGATGCTACGCTTTGCGTTGACTTGTTTAAAAATGAATCTCATCTTACTACAGAATCAAAGTTTTATGTCTTTGATTGAGTTTGGAATTACACACCATGGATAGTGGCAATTGGCCATTGTAGTGGCATTCAAATTTAGCGATTTGTTAATATTACCAATTGATGTTCGAAAATGCATTTTAAAAAAATTGTGAATTGTCTTGCTCGCGAAATTGAAATGCATGCAAAACTTTTGCATATTATGGCTAATTCTTAATTTCTAAACTCATGAATTGTTTCCGTTTCCGATAATTTCAGGTGGGAGTTCTGGATGCTGCACCATCTGGCTCAAATGTTCACTGGACCGGTGATGACGACACTCCTGTCGCATCTGAACCATCTGGAGATGACAACACTCCTGTCGCATCTGAACCATCTGGAGATGACAACACTCCTGTCGCATCTGAACCATCTGGAGATGACGACACTCCTGTCGCATCTGAACCATCTGGAGATGACGACACTCCTGTCGCATCTGAACCATCTGGAGATGACAACACTCCTGTCGCATCTGAACCATCTGGAGATGACAACACTCCTGTCGCATCTGAACCATCTGGAGATGACGACACTCCTGTCGCATCTGAACCATCTGGAGATGACGACACTCCTGTCGCATCTGAACCATCTGGAGATGACGACACTCCTGTCGCATCTGAACCATCTGGAGATGACGACACTCCTGTCGCATCTGAACCATCTGGAGATGACGACACTCCTATCGCATCTGAACCATCTGGAGATGGCGACACTCCTGTCGCATCTGAACCATCTGGAGATGACGTCACTCCTGTCGCATCTGAACCATCTGGAGATGACAACACTCCTGTCGCATCTGAACCATCTGGAGATGACGACACTCCTGTCGCATCTGAACCATCTGGAGATGACGACACTCCTGTCGCATCTGAACCATCTGGAGATGACGACACTCCTGTCGCATCTGAACCATCTGGAGATGATTCCGATAGTGATTATGAAGCCGAATCTGATCCAGAAGGTAGTAGCAGTGATGAGGCTGATTTCATTCCATTTCGGTTTGTACGTGGACGTCAAAGTAACTCTGTGGCAGTTTCTGTCAGTGATAATAAGGAGAGTGAAGCCATGCCTGTTGACCATTCAGTACCTAATACCTCACCTGCCCATGCCTCTGCAAGTGTTCAAAGTGCAAAAGTCTCAAGCTCCAGTTGCAGTATTAATGTGATGACCACTTCAAACAACAACTGTAGAAAGTGGGACAAACCTCAGTACTGTAAATTTTGTAGTCAACCACAAAAGAAACTGCCGAGGCATCTGCTTACACCACAACATGTCAACGAGACTGAGGTTCAGCAATGGATTGCAACTAAAGACATGAAAGAAAAGGCAAACTTGCTAGCTAAAATGAGAAATTACGGAAACTATCGTCACAATGTCAAAGTCCTTCAAGAAAATAAAGGTACCTTGATTGTTGCATACAGACCGAAATATGATGTGGATCCAGAAGAATATTTGCCATGTAGTCATTGTTATGCTTTCTATTCCAAGGATGATTTGTACAGGCATGTTCATAGATGTAAATTGCGACCAGATGTTGAGGATGAGGATGAGACCTGTGAACCACCCAAGAAGAAAAAAAGAACCTTACATGTTCAAACTGGTAGAATGATGCTTCCAGGCCCATCAGGAGTAAGCCCAAAGGTGCACATGATATTATCAATGGGAGTCGATGATGATATATTGAGAGTTGTGAAATCAGATAGATTAATGCAGCAAGTAGCAGAGAGGCTGACATTGAAGCATGGGCATGACAAAGACCAGTATTCATATATACGGCAAAAATTGCGTGAACTTGCACGACTGGTTCGTGAGTACAGAAAATTGAATGATCACCCATCGGCTTCATTGGTAGATTTGATTTGTCCTACCAAATTTAATGAGGTCATAGCTGCAACTAGGAAGGCTGCAGGATTTAATGAGGATACACATTTGTACACAACACCTAGCCTGGCACTGAAAGTCGGATATACACTGGTGACGGCTGCCAAAGTCCTTATGGGAAATGCTCTGTTGCAAGCAGATGCTGGTTTGGAAAAGAAATGCAAACAGTTCATCAAATCATATACTCTCAAGTGGGAAGCAGAAGTAAGCACACATGCACTGCGTACATTAAAAGTAAACAAGAGAAATACATCAAGGCTGCTTCCTTTGACAACAGATGTTGTTGCACTGTCCAATTATGTGAGAAAAGAAACAAAAGAGGGAAAACAGAAGCTGAACAGCTGCAGTAGTGATGAGACCCTTGACAGATGGAAACAGTTGGCTGAGGTTACCCTGACCCAGGTGTGTGTTTTCAACAGGAAGCGTCCGGGAGAAGTTTCAAAGATGCCCCTCAGTGATTACAAGTGTATCACAAAAGGAGAAGGTGGAATATTTGGTGAAGGCCTAACCAAATGGGAAAAGGCGTTGTGCAATGTGGTATGGAGGGTGGAGATTAATGGGAAATGCAATAACACTGTACCCGTTTTGCTAACAGATGACATGAAAGGCAGCATTGACTTGTTGATGGAGAAAAGGTCACAAGTAGTCAATGATGGAAATCCCTACTTGTTTGCAAACCCCGATGGAAGAGGCCACTTGAGAGCAACTGATACAGTGCGAAATCATGCCCAAAAGTGTGGAGCAAAGTATCCAGATCAGCTTAGATTGACAAAACTCAGGAAGCACATTGCTATCAGCTCTCAGATCATGAATTTGAAGGATAATGAAGTGGACATTTTAGCCACCTTCATGGGCCATGACATAAGAACCCACAGAGCCTACTACCGCCTGCCAGATGCGTCACTGCAAGTAGCAAAGATTTCTAAAGTACTCTTCAGCATGGAGAAGGGAGACCTAAAGGCAATGGCAGGAAAGACGTTGGATGATGTTCGTGTAGATGCAGATGAAGGTATGACTATTTTTTATGTTTTGTGCTAGATAGAATGGCTGAGAATATGCCATACCATTTTCATTTCCTTCTACTTTTATCTGAAGTGATATCTGATTGGTTAGTGAGATCATAACGGTTTCTAGTTTGAGATTACATTAGGCCAGAAAACTTTTATGTTACATCTCAATCATTCATTTCACTCTCATACAACACAGTTTTTATATTGTATAATTTCCTTAGTTTTGTATGCTTGCTATATCCTTCAGTTTGTGAAGTTCCATGCTTTTGGTAAGCAAACTGGGATGTCTTCATTAGTACCTCCAGTTTTAATAAGAATTGATCCGAGATACAATATATGGGAAGCTGCCAACATTTCAAATACTTGAATATGTGATTTGATTTTTGTGTCGCCTTACTGAACGTTCATGGTGGCACATACTAATCCAAATTATCTATGTCCGTCTTTCCATTAACCGATTCGGTTAACGTTTTCGGTTAACCCTTCTAAAAATGCTCCGCAGGCTAAACGCTATGCTTGATTTACTCCAAAACTTGGTAGGATGATCCGCAGGTTAAACGCTATGCCCGATTTACTTCTAACTTGGTAGGGTGATAGAGTGAGGTGCCACAATATCATGTGTTGCTTTGAGCTGTATTATTTGCATATTCATGAATTTCAATTAGCTTATTTGCAATGCAATTTAGGTTAACCTTAAAAAAAATGCTCTGCAGGCTAAACGCTATACCTGATTCATTTGAAACCTGGTAGGGTGACAGACTGAGGTGCCAAGATGTTGTGTGATGCTTTTCATTGCATTATTTGCATAATCATGACATTTAATGAGCTAATTTGCATATTTTGATATATTTTGGATACTCATGTGTTTTAAAAAAATGATGACACTTGCAGAATTGTCTCTCTAAATACACTTTGTATTGAAGAGTAGTTGTGGTACCAGCTGTGCTGTTTACATGAAAAGCAAAACAGGGATGACTATCCACAGCTGTCTGCTATGAACTTACCCTTGCAAAGATTATAATGTACATGTATGTTATTTTTCACCTGCTCTTGTTAAATCTGTGTTTGTTTTTTGTTTTTCAGAATGCAACATAGATCCAGATGTTGATGATGATCCTGACAACGAAGTGAACAGGCCCGATGATGCTGTTTTGATGGATGAGATGTCAGACAAAGAAAATGAAGGTGTGAATGAATTACTTTGTTATATCCTTTGTTAGGCCTCCGTTACGAAGTAGCCGGAGGCATTATGTTTTCGGGTTGTCCGTCCGTCCGTCCGTCCGTCCCGTTCTCGTGATCGCGTTATCTGAAGAACCGATTGATGGATTCCTGCCAAACTTTGGTCATGTATGTATCTTGCAGAGCCGATGGACTGATAAGATTTTGGGGTCACAAGGTCAAAGGTCAAAGGTCACAGGGCTCATTATGTATGAAAAACAGCTCGTGATCGCGTTATCTCAAGAACCGATTGATGGATTCCTGCCAAACTTAGGTCATGTATGTATCTTGCAGAGCCAATGAACTGAGTAGATTTATGGGTCATGAGGTCAAAGGTCAAATGTCATGGGCTCATTATGTATGCAAAAACAGCTTTATCATTAGAACTGACAGATGGATTACTATTTAATTCAGGACATCTTGCAGAGCCAATGAACTGAGTAGATTTTAGGGTCATGAGGTCAAAGATCAAAGGGTCATATATGTATATGAGAAATTGCTTGTAATCACGATATTCTGAGAACCTGTTAATGGATTACAATGAAATTCGAATTTGAAAAATTTCTTCTGTTTTGGTTTGTAAACTTGCTCTATGACGGAGGCATCATTTTCGAATGCGCGCAGTCGAAGTTCCATCTAGTTTATCCTTACTTTGATTATTCCAGATGCCCTCAACAGGTGATTATCCTTGTGTCACTATTTGAATTTTAGCATTCGCTTAGTTTGAATTCTGGCTAAATGGCACTCCTAATGCAGACAGCTTTAAATGAAGAACTAGCTAAAAGTAATGTAAATTGTAACTTTAAAAAAAAAATCAAAATATAACCATTCCACTCTTCTCTCAGCTACCATCTTCTGCATTTGGTTAAGTTTTTTAAAATCTGTCATTGAACCTGAAACATTAATTGTGTTTCCCTACTTATTTGTCTAATTCACTATTAAAGGTATGAGCATGCCGCAGCAAAGCAGAAAGAAGAGTGACCAAGTTGCAAACAAGGAAAGTGACCGTGGTGCCAGCAGAAAGAAAAGGAGTATCAGACAATCTTGGACAGCTGAAGAAAAACAAGCAATACACAGACACTTTAAAGAAGAACTACGCTCACGCCAACTGCCCGGTAAAGAAAAAATAATGAAGTACTGCAAGATGGATGCAGACCTGAAGGGTCGTACTAAAAGGTGGACAACAGTCAAAGATTTCATTAGAAACCAAATTAGAAAGACAAATCCACTGGATTTTTAGTGAATTTTCAACCTGTTATGAGTGAAATTAATCATGTTCATCACACTCCGCAATTTTGGATGAAATCTTTTCAGGTACTGACATGCGTAAAATGTGGTTGCTTCTTATTCATATAACCCACTTACTGGTTTCCTTGATGAAGGGCTGTGCTTTGGAAGAGGTGCACCTTTATATAGGTTAACAGTTAACTCCATGGCCAGGAAGCATACTGTGTGTAAAGCAGTGTATGGTTCTGCAAGTCAAATGGGAACTTAATAGGAAAAACTTAATTACCTGCCCAGTTGGTCAGGGCCAGGGAGTAGACTTGTGTCTAACAGTATGTATACTGTATAGAAGATTGTAAGGCAAATGGGAACTTTTGTGCTAAAGTTGTTTGATAAGCCCCAGTTTGCCAGGTTAACGTTTTGCAGTTTAAATGATGACTTACAGGTCAATTTTATCAGCTCCCATATCACCAGATGGTCAACGTCAGTGAGCATCACATGTGTAACAATGTGCATAAAGGTTTACAGGTCAAACTCCAACTTTGCTCACTTCCCCTAGATTAGGTTCATGGTTGATAGGACTCGTGATAGGACTAGATGTATAATGTTTTCCATATCAACTGGGAATTAAGAGCCAACTGTGATCAGGTCCTCAGTTGGCTTAGACCATGACAAGGAAGCATCCACATGTGTACACTATGTAAAATAAAGTTTGCAGGTCAAATAGGGACTTTAGGCCAACTTTGCTTGGCTCCCCAGTTAAATAGGCCAGTATGTAATGTTTTGCAATCAACTAGTGACTTATGGGCAATTTTGATCAGGTCCTCAGTTGGCTTGGGTCCGATTACCAGGAAGCATCCGCATGTGTACATTGTGTGAAAGTTAAGTTTGTAGGTCAAATGGGCACTTTTGGTCAACTTTACTTGGCTCACCAGTTGATCAGGGCCATGATGACTCGTCAAAGGACCGCTATGTATAATGTTTGGATTTAAGAGCCAACTGTGATGATCGAGGTCCTCAGTTGGCTAGTTCCAGCTGATGAGGAAGCATCCACATTGTGTAAACTAAAGTTTGCACGTCAAATGGGGACTTATGGCTAACTTGACTCGTCAAAGGCCCGCTACTTGCAAAATTTAGATTTTTAAGTACATTGCAGATCAAATGGGACATAGCTACCACCTTTGATCCTCAATTAGTCAAGGCCAGGTGAAGTCCCATGAAATTGAAAATTGTGTAAAAAGTAACATGTCTAATTTTGATTTATGAGACAACTTGGTTAGCAGTTGGGTTTTGACTGTTGGTCAATTACCATGGACCTTTGGCCTTTATTAGACTTTATAAATATCTCACCACTCTTGTCCAATTTCATCTAAGTTTGGACCCTTTTTTTCAAAAAAATCATCAAAAAGTAGACCATTTGCCCCTTTTGTGAAATTTAATCAGGTCCTCGCACTCAGCTATTGGGTAGGGCCAGATAACCATTAAAGCATAATCATGTGTTCAATGTGTTTCTATTAAGTTATGTCTGCAGATCAAATGGGACTTTGTACCATCTATGATCAGATCCCCAGTTAGTCAAGGCCAAATTGTGAATAAAGTTTTACAGATCAAATGTGGACTCAAAGCTTGCCAGCTTCGATAATTTTCCAGTTGCAGTCAATTATCAGGGAGCATTGACCAATGTGTAACAGTTTGTATAAAGATTTGCAGGGTAAGTGGGGTATATTTCTGCGACAAACTATGATCAGCTTCTGAGCCAAGAACATTGTTTATTTAAGGATGCACTCAGCAACATGCTTTATGCAGTATAGTTCATCTCGTATGTAACTCAAAAACTATTGATGGGAAGTGTATAAAGGTATACATTTTCTGGCTGAAAATGACCTGTTAAATCCATTGAACACATACAATTTGGACAACAATTTATCATTTTTTTTACCCATTTTTTTCGACCACCATAAATAAAATATCCTTGCAACAAAAAATTATTTTCCTAGTGTCCAAAATATAACTCACAATGTACCAAAAATATAATAACCAAGTTTGAACTTATGAGTTGTGGGCTATAAAAAAAGTTCTAGGGCCTAATTACAAAAAAACGTTACTAGATTTTAGTAGGTACAATGTATTCTGTATGAAATCTTAAATCAGAAATGTTTTATTTTTGAGTCCTGAGGGTTCAAAACTCATATAAACTATTAAAAATGAAATGGCTGAAATTATGATTTTATGCAGAAACATGGATTTTCAGTTGCATTTTCAATCTCATCTTGAAAACCCCAAGATCCTGTGTCTCGATCCTGACTTTGGTATACGGTTGCCGACAATATGCTGCATCCGATGGTACATTAGACATTTTTTCCAATTGAATTTATATGGATTTGAGAGTAAACGTCCACATGGTCTCACCATCTGTTTACATTGCTTGCTGTTTCCATGGGCGTTGTGTCACGTAGATAGATTGCGCGGATATTGCACATCGTGTTGCAATGTGACGGGACACGTAGCATGCATCGCATAAACGGACACTGTCATTTTGCGTTAAAAAAGGTTTCATCTGTAGTTTTGTTAGATTTTAAACCTGAAAAGGGTCCACAAAACAGTTTTTGATGGTTCAATGTTTATATTAGCATCACAGAATTTACTGACATGATGGAACAGAGTTTGAAGATAGCAATAAAAAAAAAATCATTTAAGGGTATGGCAAACTTTGACGTTGCTGGGTGCATCCTTAAGTTGTAGGTAATTACATGTTTTAAGATGTTAAAAGTTGTGTAGATCAAATGGGGACTTTGCAGGCCAACCTTGATTATTACCTCCCGGCTGGTCGTCCTAGGAATTGAATAGCCCATGTATAAAGGTTTTCAGCTTAAACGGGGACATATGATGCTCACTTGTGTTGACCCAGCTGGGGAGATAATAAGAGTTAGCCCCAAAGTCCCTTTGCAAACATGAGATGCTCCATTGCATTTCTCCAATCTGTGATCTGATCAAACTTGTTAAGGTACTATGCCCATTCAAGTTTGATATCTCCTCATTTGGCTGGGATCAGAAGCATCTTCGTTCCTGTACTGTGTAGAGTAGCAACTCATTTACACAAAGTTGGTGGGGGTTTGGATTTAGGTTTGTGTTATCAGGATAGAATGAAATTTACAAGAACACCTTGGAAATTGAATTCCTCTTTGTATTATTTGGAACTTTGTGTTAAGAAAAGGGTTTGCAAGAACGAGTTGCCACTGTATGAGGTAATTTGTTGGTCAAACAGCGACTTATGGGTCAGCTTTGATAAGCTACAGAGTTGGTCACCTCCAATCTTGCATATACCATTGAGTGTATTCAATTTTTCATCCAGTGTTGTTTTGAACAGTTTTATAGTTTTACATACATGTACACAATCTATATAAAGTTCTGAAATGGATAGTGCATGCAAGAGTGTTTTGTTCATATATGAAAATGTGACATATTACAAATTTACCCTTGGTTCAGTTTGTTGTTATGAATTTCTGATGTTTGTGTTTGTTTTTGTTTTTTGTAAAGAGTGAGTTAAATGTCTTAACAAGACATGTTCTCATGCAATGCAATCAATGCAATCAATTGTTAATCTTTTCCTGTTATGTGGAAAAAAATGTGTATGCTTTAAGTAATGAATACCCTTTGTTTCATCACAACTTCTGTAGTGACATCACCTGCAAAGAACACTTTTTCTGGGTTTGAATTCCAAGCGTGATGACCACCGCCAATTATAAGTGTGGGTTCTGCTTCTAAAGGAACATTAAAAAAATAGTTTTTATTGAATTGAATCTTGTCTTCCTGATGATTTATAAAATATTTTAGATGGGAATCTGTAGATGAGTTATACAACAAATGATAAATGTTTTATTCATCGGATAGAATATTTTCATTTTAGTGGAAGATTGGCCGTTCCGCCAGCTCCTGGTATGGTGCAACTAATCTTTCACCTCATGAAAATATTCTTACCAGAGCACTCTCAAATTATATGTATAACATTTTGTTATTTGATGTAGCTAGTATGAGCAATGTTGTAATACATTTGTTAGTTGTGTATTAAAATGTAACCACTAGCCTGTATTAAACAGTATATCATATTATAATAGTTAGATCAGGTATATACAGTTTACAATTCACCGTTCATAGTGTACATGTTAAAAAAGTTGATTGTTCAGTATTATTGCAGTTAAATGCTGGTTGACCAAAATTTGTGGAATGGCTGGTATTTCAGAAAAGGAGTTGAAACAGAAGGTCAGGTTTATCATTGAAGAAATATTATTTGGGCAAAAGCTGTTTTATATCAAATTCATTCTAAAAATAAATCATGTTTTGTATTATAGGTATACCTACACTACATTGTACATTACTCTGTATTTTACCAAAATGTCTGTAGTGACATCACATGCTTTTCGTGCGTGCTTCATGATCGTTAAGATAAGGTGATTGAATAGGCATGGACAGGTTGATACGCTTGGAACGCAAACTAGTTGACGTCACTACAAATGTTTTGTGAAACAAAGGGTATTGTCGTCGTATTCAAATTTGAATTTAGATTCTCTGTAGGGCCCACCAGTGGGAATAGCCCAGCACCCATAGACAGTCAAAATGAAGAATGATGTGCAAAACTATAATGCTGGTTGAAGAGATGAATGATCACTATGTCTGGTTTGTCGTCTACGTCGGACTATAACCCAACTCCATGGACAATGTGACCTATTATCTGACATGAAAGTGATAATTTAAAATGTCTATATGTAGTCCATTTTCGAACAGTTTTGTTTGACTGTATTTCTTTGCCCAATACTTTTGTACAAAGAAGACAAGATTAGCACAAAAGTGATGTATTGGTCATGTTTTGATGTTACTATCCATCCACTAAAATGTAATGTTTATATGTTCATAACATATCACTTTGTAACCCGAGTTCTATACAAAAATGAAATGGATTATGGAATTCGGAATCCTGGGTTCAGAACACAAATATGCTGATACTTTCCACTTGCTTTTATTAACAAATGTAACTTTCATTCTTTAAATTAAGATCTTGATTAAAGAGACACGGGCATATTTGGGAAATATTTGTCCAACTCTGATATTTCTGTTGCGATCTTATTTTGATGTACACATCTTGACTGCCCAGCACGCCATTCCAAAGTGGATATTTTCAAAGCAGATACTAATGCCCTCGCTGGGACTGAAGGTTTTTGTAGGGATTTTAAATAAAATGTTATTATTCAGATCCATATTCATGCCGCCTTTAAAAGCAAAATCACCACTTACGATTTTTTTTTTTTTTAACAGCTTGAAGCGAAATACATTAGTTTTTATCATGTCAGATTTCAATTTTGTAACATCTAAACATGAAAATTAAGGTTTTGCAAAAACGCTATTCAGAAGCTTAGTACTCAAACTCTTTCTTGTGTATACCAAATTATGATAGAGGTAAATATTAATGTTATGTAGTTTGCTACTCCAATTTCAATATTGCAACACCATGATTCACTTTTATATGGGAATTTTTGTTTTTAAAGGTCACTGGGGGCTGATTTCACTGCAAAAGAAGGCATGAATATGGGTCTAAACAATCCCCAAGTTGCGAGTAACTCCTCTCCTACCATACCTGTATAACAGCCCACCTATGTGTTCGTTGTCCTCTGAACTGAGATGTATCATGTTTTGTTGGAACCTTGTTTTATAAGCCTTATTTTTTCAAAGTTGTCTTTAATAATAAAAACAGTTTTGCTGTATTTGAAAGGCATGTCGAAGTATTTTATTTTATATTAAAGGGGCATCTCATGTTTTTATGATTTTATTCCGGCTTATCTTGATACTCCACCATGTGAATGAAACAAGGTCGTAACTGACATTTTGGGCACAAATTAGTTTTCTTTTCATTTTGAAAGAATTAAATATTCATTTTTTAAATTAGACTTCAAGTCTCAAATTTAAACAGTTTTATTTTATAAAAGAAAGAAGATGGTAAGAGACAAAGAAAACAAAGTTGAACACAAAATGGCTTCTCCCGCAAAATGAAGAAAATGTAGATACGACCTTTGTTGCATGCACATGATGACTTATAAGTTTGCAAATGGTTGGTTTTTGACATATTCACCTGAAAAACAACAATATGGTAATAAGACTATCTTGGAAACACTTAGGAGGCATTAGATAGGATTTTTAGATAGGGTTTTTGCAAGTTTGTTCGTCAATCTGATAAATCTTCAGAAAACCTGTTACACTATGTTTAAGCATGATACACTCGCCAATTATACGATTTACTGGATTGATACAGCTATATTCACTATTAGTTATTTGATTTGAGAAATTTATTATGAAATGATTTCGTTCTGTGAACGGAAAGAAATTAAAATGTTCATACATTTTAGGATTTCTATCGTGAACATGTAGATCTGCAGAACAGGTGGCGAAGGTTTCAGATGGCATCAAAATCTGGGGTGGTTTTGTATAAATCCGGGGGGGGGGGGAATGTTGTGGATCACGAAATGCCCCTTTAAATGTCTTTGAGTTGAAACATTTGAACTTGTCAATGAAGCAGCTGTGCTGTGCTATGTCCCGACCCTTTGAACCATAATGTAGGCACCCTTTTTCACCTGACAGTTATTATATTTAAAATGAAGACTTATAAGGAGAAGAAGTACCCGATTCACAAAATACTAGTTCATTTTGGAAAATGGCGTCGTAAACAAATTACCACCACGTTTAAATTTGTCATGACCTGTTTTCATGCACTCCACATACCTACTGTAAATTTCAGCTCTGATGACAAAATGAATGTGGTGTTTTGTTTTGTTTTCGGCCCCGGCTGGTTGGTGATGTAGCACTAGACGCATGAAAAGTGGGTTAAATACACCCTGAAATAAAGAAGTCCACGTTTTGACAGGAAGAAAAGCAGGTCCACGTTTTCATGTAGGGGTCAAGCGTTACCCAAGGTCCACAGTTCACAACATCGAGCCCTCGGTTACATTAAAGTCCACAGTAATTTTGTACTATTGAATCAGAAAGAGATTTAAACATGTTACTAAAAGGAATTCCTTTTTTTTCCAAACGAAGTTTTTAAATGAGAAATTTTGTACTAGTCATTTCCAAGTCAACATTATCAAAATACACCCTGAAATAAAGAAGTCCACGTTTTGACAGGAAGAAAAGCAGGTCCACGTTTTCATGTAGGGGACAAGCGTTACCCAAAGTCCACAGTTCACCACATCGAGCCCTCGGTTACATTAAAGTCCACATTAATTTTGTAATATTGAAATCGGGAAGAGATTTAAACATGTTACTAAAAGGAATTCCTTTTTTTTTCAAAATGAAGTTTTTAAACGAGAAATTTGTACTAGTCATTTCCAAGTCAACATTATCAAAATACACCCTGAAATAAAGAAGTCCACGTTTTGACAGGAAGAAAAGCAGGTCCACGTTTTCATGTAGGGGTCAAGCGTTACCCAAAGTCCACAGTTCACAACATCGAGCCCTCGGTTACATTGAAGTCCACAGTAATTTTGTACTATTGAAATCGGGAAGAGATTTAAACATGTTACTAAAAGGAATTTCTTTTTTTTCCAAATGAAGTTTTTAAATGAGAAATTTGTACTAGTCATTTCCAAGTCAACATTATCAAAATACACCCTGAAATATAGATGTCCACGTTTTGACAGGAATAAGAGAGCAGGTTTGCGTTTTCATGTAGGGGTCAAGCGTTACCCAAAGTCCACAGTTCACCACATCGAGCCCTCGGTTACATTAAAGTCCACAGTAATTTTGTAATATTGAAATCGGGAAGAGATTTAAACATGTTACTAAAAGGAATTCCTTTTTTTTTTTCCAAATGAAGCTTTTAAATGAGAAATTTAGTACTAGTCATTTCCAAGTCAACATTATCAAAATACACCCTGAAATAAAGAAGTCCACGTTTTGACAGGAAGAAAAGCAGGTCCACGTTTTCATGTAGGGGACAAGCGTTACCCAAAGTCCACAGTTCACATCATTGAGCTCTCGGTTACATTGAAGTCCACATTAATTTTGTACTATTGAATCGGAAAGAGATTTAAACATGTTACTAAAAGGAATTCCTTTTTTTCCAAATAAATTTTTAAACGAGAAATTTGTACTAGTCTTTTCCAAGTCCACATCAAAATACACCCTGAAATAAAGAAGTCCACGTTTTGACAGGAAGAAAAGCAGGTCCACGTTTTCATGTAGGGGACAAGCGTTACCCAAAGTCCACAGTTCACAACATCGAGCCCTCGGTTACATTGAAGTCCACAGTAATTTTGTACTATTGAAATCGGGAAGAGATTTAAACATGTTACTAAAAGGAATTCCTTTTTTTTCTCCAAATGAAGCTTTTAAATGAGAAATTTAGTACTAGTCATTTCCAAGTCAACTCCAAAATACACCCTGAAATAAAGAAGTCCACGTTTTGACAGGAAGAAAAGCAGGTCCACGTTTTCATGTAGGGGTCAAGCGTTACCCAAAGTCCACAGTTCACCACATCGAGCCCTCGGTTACATTAAAGTCCACAGTAATTTTGTAATATTGAAATCGGGAAGAGATTTAAACATGTTACTAAAAGGAATTCCTTTTTTTTTTTTCCAAATGAAGCTTTTAAATGAGAAATTTAGTACTAGTCATTTCCAAGTCAACATCAAAATACACCCTAAAATAAAGAAGTCCACGTTTTGACAGGAAGAAAAGCAGGTCCACGTTTTCATGTAGGGGTCAAGCGTTACCCAAAGTCCACAGTTCACCACAGTGGCGGATCCAGGGGGGCGCCCCCCCCCCCTGGGCACAAAAAAGAAGGAGAAAAAAAGTGGGACAAAAGGAAGGGAAAAAAAAGGGGGGAAAAAGAAGGGAAAAAAAAAGAATGAAAAAAAAAGAGAGAGAGAGAAAGAAAAGAAGGGAAAGAAAGAAGAGGAAGAAGAAAAGAAAAGGAGATCGGGGGCGAAAGGGCCTCGCCTCCCAGGCTGTTGCCTCCCCCCCCCCCCGCAATCAAAAAAATAAGAGAGAAGGAAGGAAATGGAAAGAAGAAAGGAAAAGAGGAGATAAACGGAAGGAAAATTGAGGAAGAAGAAAAGAAAAGAAGGGGGTATCAGTTGCAATTTTCCCGCCAACAAGTTGTGGATCGGGGTGGGGTGAGGCAAAACGCCCTTGCTCCCCCCCCCCCCCCCAGCAAACCTAAAAGAGAGAGAAGGAAGGGAAGGGAAAGAGGAGAGAAAGGGAAAGAAATAAAGAGAAAGAAGAAAGGTAAGGGAGATCAGTTGCGATTTTTCCGCCAACAAAGTGTAGATCAGAGGGGGGGGGGGGGAAGGGGGAGGGGGGGGGGCACTGGCGTACTGAGGGGGCTCGGGGGAAATCAAATGTTAACGTAGTTTATTTCTAATTCCATAACGGTGGTTTACACATAATGCTGAAATTACATAATTTTCAGAGATTTTTCCTCATTTTTTAGTAAATTATACTTTTTATGCGCTTGTTGTAAAATGACAAATTCCTAAATTTACAGCCAGGCAAGAAATATGCTTCTTGAGATGCCTACATGTCAGGGCTCGGGAGCCTCCAGCTCCCCCCCCCCCTCCCCACTTTTTTGAAAAAGAATATTAAAAAGAAATAGAAAGAAAGAGAGCAAGAAAGAAATAATAATAATTACAGTGCTTATATAGCGCCTAACACTTACTTTGTCAGAAGTCTCTAAGCGCTCTACAATAATGCAGCATAATTACCCTGGCTTTAGCAGTGCAGCTGTTACGCGCGCTGCGTTTCAAGGAATAAATTCCTACCAGGTACATTTTACTTCACTTGGGTGGAGTGTGGCAAATGTAGACCAATGTCTTGCCAAAGGACATAAGTGCAGCGGCGGGACTCGAACCGCGGGCCTTGTGATCGACAGTCCGGCGACGTATCCACTCGACCACAACACCTCTACTAGAAAGAATAGTTAACTGCCAGTGTCACAACAAAATACGGTATTAAAAAATGCTCATGTGACCGTAATTAAACGCCTAAAACCCATAAGCTTCAGGGGGCTCTGCCCCCGGGACCAAACCAAGGGCCCTAAGATGGGCCCCTTGATACTCATCTGACCGTAAGTTAGTGCCTAAAACCCTTGAGCTTCTGGAGATCCGCCCGCTGGACCTCACGCCAATCAGTGTTCTGCCAGTGTCACAAATAAGGTACTTGATACAAAATATGCTCGTCTGACCGTAATCAAATGCCTAAAACCCCTGATATTCCGGGGTGTTCGCACCCTCGACCCCACCAGGGGCCCTAAGGCGGGCCCCTGAATGCTTATCTGTGTGTAATGTATTGCCTTAAACCCCTGAGTTTCCGGGGGCGGACAAAGTAGCAAAATATGTTCATCTGACCGCAGGCGCGTAGCCAGGGGGTTGTGGGGGCGGCCCCCCAAAAAATAACGCTGGCCAAAAAAAGGGAGGAGAGAAAAGGAAGAGGACGTAGGCAGAAAAAGAAGCAGACAATAAAACAGTTTTGAAAATCAGACAAGGATTAAGAGTCGAAAACGGTACAACGAATCGTCTTCTTTCTCTAATAATTTAATGAAATGTCAAAGCTTCCGCGCTTCGCGCAGGAGGGGGTGGGACTGAATTGAGACAAGGATTAAGAGAAGAGAACGGTACAGCGAATCATCTTCTTTCTTAAATAATTTTAATGAAACGTCAAAGCTTTCGCGCGGGAGGGGGGGGTGAACAGAATTCAGACGAGGATTGAGAGTCGAGAACGGTACAA